TATATCTCTTCTGTTGTAGCACTTTTTCAAATAATATAAAACGATTTTGAATATTAAACTTTCCCATAATTTTTAGCGCATTTTTTAAGAATTAAAAAAATGTGCTATTGTTGTCCGCCCGGGCCCACTTGTACAGTTTTGAACTACTTCCAGGAGAATGGTCCTAGAGTCCTGGAATTTTTTGCAGTAGCCTATACCTTGAAGGTGTGCCAGACAAATTTTACTGTCTAAAAGGGGGGCCCCCTCACGAATTATTTCCTGAGATGCTGTTTTTGAAAGTAAAACGTGCATAACTTTGTTGGAAGTTGGAAGACTTTCTTGTCAGTAGAGGTTTGACCCCTAGTCAAACTGAAAAGGTCAGGGAGGAAAAAGTAAGTAGTTTTCATGGTTAATTACAATACGAATCAATTGCCTTAGTTTTCTGTGTCTTCTGTGTAGGTATTGGAATACCTATACTATTAAGTACTTATTTCAATATTTCTGCCTTCGATTACTCCGAAAGTAATTTTTATATTTATGGACGATAGAGAGTTAAATGACTTTATTCCGAAATATGGTGATCGAATAGCCGTTAAACATTTTTGCTCTTTAAAATGTAACAGTGAAAAATAAAAAAAAGGATTTTGCTAGAAAAATTAAGACATAAAATAAACAAAGGTATTGACAAAAAAATAGTTCTGAACATTAAGCAAAGAAAAAACCCGAAAAAGCAAATTTTCATTGGATGGTTATGCTGTTTAAAGAAGGGTACCGACAAGTAAAAGAAGTCTGAGGTGGAGGCACTAGAAAAATCACGGTTCCACGATCGGCTAAAAAAGAATACATAATCAACAAGGCAAAAGACATTTTTTTCCTGCTGGGGTATCTAAAAATGGAAACGTAAATGAATTTCATTTCGACCTTTTCGATTACCAACAAAACATAATTGACACATTAAATGCAACAGAGGGGCCCTTCTCATTCTCACATCTGGGGGGAGACCTTAACTCCCGTTACCCCAAAGTTTTCAGGATGTATTAAAAAAAACTTGAAAGATAGGGTGGATAATGCAAAAACAAATTACTTCAATCTATACCGAGAAGACATTTTTTAATGTTGTATACGCGGAATGAGAAGAAAAGGTTTCGCTCCTTTTAATCGTATTTCCGTAAAGTTTAGCGACATGGAGGGGGTACCCGAAGGTGCTGTTGATGAAGGTGGTCCAAAGAGGGAAATGTTTCGCCTTGTAATCCACAGAATTAGAGATAGTAGGTAATTTATTTACTGGCGACAAGAAAAAAAAATTTGTTCCTCAATGCTGCAGCTCTTAGGAAAAGGAATACTTCGAAGCGGAACGTTTCATAGCTCTTTCATTAGTTCACGGTGGACCTGCACCACATTTTTTTTCAGATCTTTTGCTTGATCTCGTTATTGGTAAAGATGTCCTGCACGCACAATTTAATGTTGAAGATGACGAAGATGAAGTTAGAGATCCACTCATTTCTTTACAAAATGCAAAGGATCTTGCAGACAAAGCCGCAAAACAAGCTCGATCATCTGACACGCCCATCGAAAAATTGCAGTTGGCGTACGATCTAAAATCTCTCATCAGACGAGACAGCCTAAAAACATGGCAGCAGCACTGGAATAGGCTAAACACGAAACTGCACCAAATCCAAGCCAACGTAACTCCTACCAAAATACCACCAATACCAATGTCAAGAAGAGACAAAATCGTCATAAGAAGACTCAGAATAGGCCACTCTCACCTCTCGCATGGTTACCTAATGGCATCCGAAAATCCTCCAGTCTGCGAACACTGCAACACCAGATTAACAATAAGCCATGTTCTGTTAGACTGTCACCGTTACAGTACCGCTCGACTGGACCACCACCTTAGTGAGTCACTCCAGAACATCCTAAGCAACCAGATCTACGACGGAATAAACTTTCTGAAAGCAACAAACTTGTACAAGTGCATTTGAATAAATCTACTGTATTTACCTGTACCCACTGTATACGTGTCAATGGCCTTGCTGTCGAGACACAATAATAAATTTAAAAAAAACGAAACCAGAGATATAATTCTCTAAAAATAATATAGTTCCTAGCAGGATATAATTTCATAAACGAATACGAAGACAGGAGCATTATCATTCAAGGTTCGTGGTTACTGTAGGTACCTACCTTTGTTTATTAATTTCTATACTAACGGGCGATCAAAAATGAGTTGTTGTTGAGTTGTCGAGTCGCCTTATGGGAAGTTCAAGTTAAGTACGATTTCCCATGTAAACAAACATTTCAAACCCAAAGGCGGCTAGACTGCAACTCATTTTTGATCACATAGTATTAAAGCATATGTAATTTTAATCTTTTAGGTATTCTGCGTTTTTATTTGGTAAACAGGGTTAAGGAGGCTTTAGATCAATTTATCGAAGGACTTACGACTTGCAACATACATGATAACATCATAAAATATCAAGATTTGTTTCGACCGGAAATGTGTAACAGTCCAAAACCACTTACCGCAGGAAGCTTAGAACAATTATTGTTTATTATTAATTACAGCGAACCAGGTTCGAATAACAGGCGAAAGGAAAACAAGATCATAACATATTTTAGGGACTACCTTGCTAATTATTTGTATTCTAGTGAATTCTGAATGTGATCACCTTTCCACAACTTTAAAAGATCTATTAATATTTGCAACCGGCGCTGAAGAAATACCACCTTTAGGATTTTTAAGCATCCCACAAATTGTATTTTTACATGGAGAATTTAGCAAATATCCTACAGCCAACACGTGTACCCCCGAACTAAGGCTACCCACAGTTCATGACGATTACGACGATTCGAAAAAAGCAATTGTGTCTAACAATTGACCTTCAATTTTAGTTTAGTTCTAATAACGACATTATTTCTGTTCTTAAAAGTACGTAATTGTTAAGTGTATCATACGCACTTTCACGGTTCAGCAATTGCATTTCGTCAGATATAATTATACACAATTGGTAGACGTCTTCATCGGCAACAGAAATAGGCAAAAATTCCCAAACGTCTTCAAAATTATCATTTAATTCATTCTGAGGACAAAAACAATTTTTAAATGAGGTACGTCTATGTACTAAATTGTACGTTTTTACCTGAATTACTTCCAAAAAACAGTACTGAACAATGAATTTGTCTAGAAAACTTCCAGTGAATAAACCATCTCCTTTCAGTTGCTCAAAGATATTCATCCAAAATTGACTGTTATGTCTTCGAAGCATGGCCCACCAGGCCTCAATTCGTTGGTTTGTATGGCTAGAACCGTAGATAAATGGTGGTAAACGTCCCAAGGAATTCATCCCCAAAATTTCATGAGAGAGGCCTTGAAGTAACTCTGCAATAACATTATCGGTGCCCATATCGGCACGAACGGTTTGAGGAAATCCGCAATGCTCTTTAACAGTTTCTATAAAGTACCCAGCCACTACTTTGGAATTTTTATTTGTTCCATATTCCTTCTTTCTGGAAATGTTAATACTAAAACTAAATAAATAAGTAAAATACAATAAATAAAAAATGTATACTTACTATTGATGTTTTAGTTAGTTTTAGCTTCTCTCGCTACACGGTCACTTGGGTGTAGTAATTCATTCTAACTCTAATACGTTTCATTCGATAATCAAACTCGGGATCGACTGATCAAATTCAAAGTCCGCCGGCCGACTTCGAAGTCGTCCGGCCGGGTTGAATAGAAAATATCACCTCGTGGTCCTTCAGCGGTTCCGTAGCGAGGAGCATAGTGTATGGCTGAGGCATTAGGGATTAGATCAAATCTCTCATTTCCCTGCGACATGTCCAGGGCCAGAAAGAGAAAACCACACCCAACTACTACCATAACTACAATGATTACACTCCTGTTATTATTAGAATGAAGGTCTATTGATCAAATTATTGATATCATTCATTCAACAAACTAACAAAATGAAGACCTTCATTCAACGAACATCTATTGCTTTCTGATAGTAAGTATTTGGACTTTTTATGTAAATTCTGTTTTAATCACGATATTGAGAATTATAAGATGTTTTGTTATTCCCACAGTAATCTTAGGTATTAGAAAAATAATTAGTAGTAAACGATTGTGTAATTTTAAATTTAATACTCGATTACCGTGGGGATGCGGTTTTATATTATTATATAGCGCATTAACGAGCATTATAGAACAAAGGAGCTCGTTTTTCCATAAAAAAAGGCGCATCGTCAAGAAGTCTTTATAGGTTATGATAGGTATTTATTTTCAAATTAAGTAAAACAATACAATTAAATTGAAGAAAAAGACTTCTATAAAATATTTCAGACAAAGAAACGTACCATTAATAAACGCAAAGAGAATGGAAGCGGTGGCGCAAAACGTTCAATTAATTTTCTTTGCGATGTGACCTCTTAACATAAAAATCTTTACTGGTGTCATATAATCGGGTTTAACTTGTTAGGCTGTTTTCTAACTAGTTAACTGTATATGGCCTACATGAGTGAGATGACACAAGTGGAAGGTTTGTCCTTCTAATATCGGATATTGGACACAAAGTGCGACCATTAGGGCGGCTTATATAGCTGAAACTGCTGGACAAGTTCGCTCTTCATTGCGGGTCAAGTACTAAGTGAGTAACCGCATTAGAAAGGTCTGAAATAACCACTCCACTAACTCATTTCTTGTTTGGCTTTTGTAATCTAAAACCTCTGTGGGGTGGATTTGTGCTTATATTAGAATTCAAGGTGACTTATGTAGAAATATTTTCGAAATTGAGAGAAACGGCCGATGTAATGATACACTTTACTAATAAGTTCAACCCTTTTCTAACTTCATTTAATTAAAAATGGTGAGTTCGAATGCAGAGCGATGGATATTATTTATAACGGCGGATAGTCGTTAACGAGAGGATGATATTCAGACAAGAAACATCCTATTTACCATCCAATTAACTCGTCTTTATTTCTACTTGTTAACCAACTCGTTATTTGTTTACATCGGCGAAAGGTTTGTTTGATATCTACGCCCTAACGATCTATCTAATTTCGCCAATCAACAATTTTGAAACTAAAGTCAACAGATATTGAGGCATGATATTTGTAAACAGACATATCTGACACGATTTGTTCAGCGCTGCGACATTAACTATATGGGTGCATATGGTGTATGAACCACCCATATATCAATCATTATTCAGATGTTTTAGACCTTGAATATGATCTATTTAAATCAAGAATTTACTTGGAAACCATACAATGGGTAATATCACGAAAACTTACTGAAGTAACTTCCCTTCACGAAAATAATTGTAGACCTCGATTCTCGATACTCTTTAAATGGAAAAATTGTGCAACCGACAGAGCCCGATGTCAAAGGCCTGTTGCATGTTGGTTGTTTATGCTGTAGAGTTTACCTACGCTAGTACTTTTGTCAATGAGGCCACGTGAACGTGAACTTATACAATGTTGACCAGGAGAAAAAATTTCTCATATTGTGCTAATTTTGTGGTTTACTATACCTGCAGTCGACCATTTTTGTGTTTTTTCGTTCTGCGTACAAAGTCCTGCTTGTTCTAACCCTCTAAACCTAAATGCAACATTTAGTTTGTCCTTTAAAATGCGGAGTTTCCAAATAAATTGAGAATGAGCTGAGCATAACTAGTGTACGTTCGCGTGGGCATGCGCATTTTGTGTAGATTTGGTTTTGTTAAGTTTTATTTTTAAAAAAATCCGCTGAATTGGGCACTCATTTTTGTGAAAACAAATTTGTTCGTAGGTACTAAAGAATCGAATCCGGGTCGCCCGGTACACTAATAACTAGCTAAACCATTGATCCACTGCCACATCTTAAATCGTGAGTGAGGTGAGGGGAAGGAGCACCTGAAAGACGCATGACCATGTGAACATAATATCTGGTGTGTCTTTTGTTTCATGCACAGTATAGTATATTGAAAGACAAGTGTTACAATGCGAGCTATTGTAATACGACTATCTTGTGGCACGAGTGGCGACGCGAAGCGTAGCCACGAGTGTCCGCAAGATAGGAGTATTACAATAAAGCATTGTAACACGCGTTTTTCATACTATTTTTTCTATTTCGGTGCTTTAATTTAATTAAAAAAATCATTATCAGAAAGTATAGGGAACATTAGAACTAACATGTTTTATGTTGGGAACACTTTTTATGCCGTTAAGTTTTAGGTTGGCAGCGTAGTAAGACTGACATTTTGAAGTTCAAACATGGAAGTATTGTACCTACTTGTACTAACTAGTAACTGCCAACTTAAGAGATGCAGATGAGTTACCAAAAAAAAACGACTATAATCACTGTCTTTGTACAACTGTTTTTGGCCGAAAACAGTTGTACAAAATCATCATTGTGACACCGAAATAGAAAAAATTTGTTTTGTGATTTAGTTGAGGCAGTGATGGGAAAGTTGGGGTGTAATTTTAGACTTTTAAGGTGTTTGTGTTTTAAAACCGAGTGCTTATTTGTAAAAGAAAAAGTTTAAAAAGTATTTGTGCAAATAAATGCAATGCATTTTTTTTAAAATCTTAATTAGTTATTGTGGCGTTTTGAAGTCATTTACAGTGACGAATCGTAGGAATGGTGACAGTCTCATTTATTAATAGCCGTTTGTACTGACAAATTTAAGCGGAGCTTAGCTTAAAATCCATGGCAACGATATGTGACAATGCTTGCCAGGGATTTTAAGCTTTACCGTTAAGCTAAGGTCCGCTTAACTTTGTCGATGCAAACGGCCGTTCATGTTAGTTTTGACATTTCAACACTTTGTAGTCAGGTCTGCACAGTGAAATGATTCTCCATCTTGGAAATGTTCGTCTAGAGCTGAAGTGCCTTGCTGGTCGTTTTGGTTCTCTTCATGCAGTATGAAGGGTTCGATGATATTGTCTAGCATATCGAAGAAAGTTTTGCTACTTAAATTGCTCGCTATAACCGAGGGACCAAATACAGCATCGCCTAGTACCCGTGTCCAAGTTTTTCTGGATAGTGTGTGTAACCCTCTCTAAATCCATTCGGGTTCGCATCACTCCAAGACCGACAGTTTTATTTAAATTAGTAGATTGCATCCAACGTCGCGTCTCTACATCATAGCCGTGTTTTCAGAATTTTACAAAATAATAAATTTCTGTTCTACAAATTTCAATGGCATCAAGGACTACGTAAAGGCGATTGTGAAAGACGAGTAGCGGTAGCTTTCTGTTTCGAAATTATGGAAAGGTGTAATGAAGAAGAATGTCACAAGATATCCAATTATCAATTAGCAGCATGTTCGAAATGGATTACATGATGGACTTGGTTACTGTCTTATAGATAATGGTGACCTATTCGAGCATTTATTATAAATTGTTATACTACTAGAAAACCGTTTTTAGCACATTTCCACAAAAATAAAAAAAATGCACTATTGTGTCCACTTTGTCCGTCCGTCCGTGCGTCCGCTCGTTCGTTGAGACGCTACTAGTTCTTTATCTTAAGAGCTATTGTTCTACTTGTTTCGCTATTTGGTTCGTTATGGTGTCGAGGCTTGCACCAAGGAAGGAATTTTTTATGCGTTTATTACGAAAAAAAAGTTATTGTAAAAAAACCAAAAAAACCGTTTTTTCCATGTTCCATAATTTTACACTTTTGCCGTTTATTAACGATCCTAGAGATCGTTTATAATTTTGTAATGCTGTCTGTTGGTCTGTCCATCTGTTCCTTTGTCTGTCTGTCCCTCTATCTGTCCGTGTGAACGATAACTTTGTTTAGAAATATCCGATCACTTTGACATCTCCGTTAGTTATGAACTGAATTGCATGAAATTCAATATGGGCATATCTTTAGCCATATAATACGCAATGCCAAAAGTTGAGTCGAATCGATTCAAAATTCACAGTGCCCTTTTCGCATCTCGACCATTTATAAACCGAATTGCAAACTTTTTATTTATAAAAGTATTTGAATAAAATTTGATACATAGGCACTTGGAATAAATGAAAATCTAACGTCAGTTTCAAAATTTGGTTTTGCGCATGCGCAATGCCAACTTTTTTGTCTATGGAAGCATTTAAACGAAATTTGATACATAGGCGTTTGGAACAAAGGAATATCTAACGTTAGTTTCAAAATTTAGATTTGCACAGTTCCAACTTTCTTATTTAGAGAAGCAACTCCTTTATATTATGCATACATCATACTTTTAAAAGCGAATTATAATAAATAGGTAATATATTGATAATAGGTAATCATTCTGCATACATTTTTTGGCCTTTGAAACATTATTTTGAATTGTAGATTTAAATGTTTTATCAGTTGTAATACTACACAATCCACATTACAATTTACAACAAATGTTAAGTTATTGAACAAATTCGGAACAATGGAATTATACTCATATTATTAAACAGCACAGTTCACTGCTTTATGTATCAGCGATTTAGTCACTGTCTTCCGAAAGTTCACTAATACTGTCACTGTCATCCGATCCGAGTGAAATAATTAATGGTTCTATAAAGGTATCCATTAGGATTAGACCATCCAATCTACACATCTTATTTTCTTTCTCAGTAGCGTTTTGCACACAATTCCGCCAATCGTCAGAGCTC